TTTGAGAAGCAGTTTTCTGTTGAAATTCAAGGCAAATATGTGTATTCAACAGGTAAATCCTTGTAGTCAGTCCTCACAGAATTCATAAAGCTAAACATGAAAGGTATAGTCAGGATACTAAGAATTGACAAGTGACATGAAATGATATGCATGGATCTTTTCCTTAACTCTAGCACGTTTGATGTGCTCTCCAGTTCCGACACATTTGTCTCATGAGCAGGGAATGCATGTGGCTTTGACTGCTGAATTGAAGACTTAACAGTTACAGGTCTCCTTACTACAAGCATGACATACTGAGAAGAGTTCTGCTTTGGTCCAAGAGAGCAGCATTGGATTTTGGAAGCTCTGGGTTTTTTCTAGTATACTGTTTTGCATTGAAAATGAATGTGCCCATACTTCAGCTTATCTTTAGTCATCCTACTCTGGGACAAGAATGTAATGCTTATTCCTCATCATTTGAGAGCATTTGGGTATTGACAGTTTTTCATTATAAAGAGCAGAAGTTTATCTCATCATGAAAAAGGAGTTTAGGGAAGAGAACACCTGAATCTTAATGGGGTTTGGGCCAAGCTTCATTTAAAAATGCTGAGGTGAAATGCACTGTGGTGTCTGGAATTGCCTTGCAGAAGTCTCATTGAGAGGAAAATAATAGATGTCAAAACATCTGTCAGATACTATGCTCTTACCAGGAGTGAAGATTAACATGCAGCACTACTGGTGTAGGTGCGCACACCACACAGAGTTAAACACACAAACAACAGGCTCACACTGTGCTTACTACAGATGTCTGAATGAGTGAGTGCCTGTGGGCTGGAGCTGCATGTCTTGTGGCTTTCACTCTGCTCCACTGGGAAGCCTTCACTCCTTTTGTTTTTATCCTTTTCCAACTCTAGTATTTGAGAGCACACAGCTCCCATCCCCTGACCGAAGAGCTCCACTGAAGTGCATTCCAGCCCCATGATTTCATGGTACCAGCAAAACTCCCCTGCCATGCTGCTATGCCACCCGCTGCTTCTCACGGAGTGAACAAACAGGGAACATAAACTCTCTCCAAAGGAGCAATGTTCTCTGTATATTTTTAGTGCTAGAAGTCCAAAATTCATTTAAGGGTTGTTGTTTTTTTTTTGTGGGGGCTCTTTTTAATATAGACTTCTGCTAACACAATGGAATATTTCATACCACCCCATTTGCTGTCACATCTCGTGCTTTATGTTGTTAAATGGAATCAAAGGAGTTAAAGATGAAAGACTTGTAGTCAACTGGTCGGTCCCCCAGATGGGAGCCAGTGAGGGTTTGTTCTTTGTAACTTATTTGCTATGCTTTATCCAGGTCCAGCCTAGCTCAGTTTTCGTTATTGGATTTGCTTGTTTCTGCAAATTCCAGACTTCAGGTTAAGTAATTGCTGAGTTTAGACTCAGTATAATACTGCTACTGTTTGCTGCTCATGTTTGACTTGTTACTTATTACCCATATACTGAACAAATCTTTTCGAAGTAATTATTTACCAGTTGAACATACAAGCACGTTAAAGATGCCATGGTTGCTTTCAGAGGTATTCTCCTTACTGGATAGACAGGGAACTTTGTTCTCTCTTTATATGAAACTGTCCATTTTACGTTGTGCTTGGGTGTTTTCTTTCCAACATGTAGTGTGGCACCAGATGCTTACGTAGTACTACAATGAACCTATCTTTAATCTGTTTAATCTGCTTATTGTTACCCTTCATATCTTTGGAGTTAGTACAGAATTTGAATGTACAGTTTATGTTGAAATTCTGATGTCTTGTGTTTTCTTGGTGAAAAACATTCTCAAACTGCCTATTTAAATGTCCTTATTGTATCTGTACCAATATTTGAGTATATTATACTCAAATTAGGGAACATAATTTTGCCAGTACATCCAGTTTGTTCATAGTGACATAATCTCCAAACTGGGCAGTGATCTGAGCAGGGGAAAAGGCAGAGAAGGAACATGGCATAGGAAGTATATGAAGCAGGGAGTGTGGCTGCAAGGGAATGGAGTCTTTGTGACTTGAGGACTGACAAGGTTTGTGGAGTCCACAGGCTCAGGGTGCCAGCTCTTTTTGGGTCAGGGTGTTGGCACATGAGCTGATCTGTGCTGACTGCACAGAGGGTTATAACGCGCATTTATCCCAGGGGGTAGAGCTGCTTCTGCACTGAAGTACCATTAGCTTCAGTGTCCCAGGGAAAAGAAGCAATAACATCAGAAGATATTTCAGGTGATGCTGTCCTTGTCTAGGTTTGTCTAGGTAGTTGAAAGATGTACAAGTTTCTTCACTATACTTTTAACATAGTCATCTCAACACACTTTATTTAATGCACATCCATAGTGGATTACTAGAAGATTAGGAAGTTTCTAAGCTGTTCTAACAGTGCAGGTAGGAAACATTTTGCATAAAGTCACTGGAGTAATGGTAGCAATAGCTTCCTTACCATATGGCATTCTCTGTGCCTCCTTACTGTCTTGATATTCCATGCAAGAGTTCTTCTGGGAAGCAGGGGGTGAAAAGCGCAAGTGCAGGAAGGAAAGAATACATGAACACAGGAGGGATGAAACTGATAAGAAAATGGAGATTAATGATGTAAGAATTTACAGCCTGTGTGGCAGAGTGTGATTAGACATCTAAATGGGTGCTACATAGTAGGCAGCACTGGGGAGAATTAGAATTGTGTGAAGGAATATCACGATTTGAACTGAGTGCTAGAAGACGGATGAGATGAGGAAATGTGCTCTGACAACTAACCAGCTGTTCTGGGATCCCTGTAGGGCAGAACACCATCGTAGTCATCATCTGTTTATAGCCTTGGTTTCTTCTTGGGTTCTTATTCTCTTGGTGAAGAGCAGGAACATAGGAAGCAAAAGACAAATGTTATGCCTGTAAAGTTGCGTTGCCTAGCAAGTGATTGCATTGCCTAACAAGTGATCATGCCCTTAGTAACATACGTACAGCTCTGAAGCTCCATGCATCCAAAGTTCTCTGAGTTTCTAGAAGATTTATGGACGTTGAGACCCTTCTCAGTGCCAACAAGAAGCTGGTTGCAGCCCTTGGGCCAGGTAGTAGCCTAGCGGGAGGTGAGTGGGTTCCGCAAGTGGTTACAAATGCTCTGCTGTAGTTTCCTACGAAAACAGGTGATCAAATGGCAAAAAAAAAGGAGTAGCATAATTCCATGTTTGTGTAATGCAGAAAAAAGGCACGGATGTTTAAGGACTGGAGCACAACCACTTGAAGTTAGAATTGCTGTTGGAGGAAATCGTGTGCTTTTCATTGCAGTGACTAGTTTGCAGCTCCCGTGCTGGAGGTTCTAGAAGAGATCTTAGAAAATGACTCAAGAATATACTAGAAGTCAAGAAGATACTTAGGATGAGGTGAGGGGGGTTACCGCCTGCACTGAAAAGTGTAGGTATTTATGTGAGCAGGAAAAGTCAGCATCGCTGCTAGCCCAGACCTGCTCTTACCTGTCAGCACAAACACTTCAACATTGGATAAGAAAATTGGCTTAGCTGAAAACCAGGCTTACTTTGAAAGCAATGAGAATTATCCAGCACATTTTGAAGGAAATGGCTGAACTGTAGATCATGTTTAAAAATACAAAGTCTTATCTACTTGGAAATTCTTATTTGTTTTTTTCTGGAGTCTGAGTCAAAATTAAGTCAATTTGAAGTTTGGGGGTTTTATTTTTTTTTTTAATAGTTAAAGATAATGCTACTTGGCCTTGACTCCTGCTGCCATTTTTTGTGGGTTTTTAGTAGTATGTAGGAGGTTCACAGCAATGAAAACAGACTACATTAATCGCTCTACTTTGATATCAGTGTGGCTTATAAAATATAGCAGGAAAATGATCATGTAACCAGAGGCATAATGAAGTTGATGTTCCTGCTGTACAAGAGACTGAGGGTTTGTATTGAGCAGCTTTGTGACTAGAGCTCCGTGCTGAGGTTGGTGGGACCCTCATTTGTAAGTCTTACATGTTCTTACAGCTTGGCATGTAGCAAGCATTTTCACATGGAACATTGCTGAGTTACTTCTGGATATAGTGGAATTCTTTGGGAAGGTCGGGGAGGTAATCGATCATGTGCTGACAGCTTGGGGCTCTGAGAAAATGGTCAAATGGAAGGCTGGGATGCAGGAAAACAAACTTTCCAAGATGGTAACTGTTACTTAGCCAAGCTGTACATTTTTCAAGTTTTTAAATCTTTATTCCCAACCTTAGCTTCTTCGTGACGTTTTTTGCTGCTTCTCTGTGAAATCTCATCAGATGTTGACATATTACTGGTACTGGTGCATCTACAGTATTCCAGGTGTGACCTTGAGCTATAGCAGTATTTCTTTGTAAAGCCCTTTCAGAAACTGTACTGCTGCCAAGATGGGTAGTTTCAGAATTTTGATAATCTCTTCATTATTCTTTGACCTCTGGGACAAGGACTCGGTTTCTTTCAGGAACTGCTCAAAATGGTCTTTGCAGTTAGACAAATAAGACTTGAGTGTTGGTGGGAGTTAAGCTGGCAGCCTACTGGGATACTGCATATGTTTACCACAAAAATGTTTCCATTTCTCTAGGCTGTGATCCCGAGTTTCTGTATCAGAGTGGATAATGTTCTAAAGAGAAACATACAGCTTCGGTTCCAAATCATAGAATCATAGAAGGATGAAAGATGAGGATCAAAAAGATCAAAAAAGGATGAAAGAATCTATGACTTGTCTTCTGAGATCTAGTTTTCACTGACCTTATTTACAGCTATGTCAGTTTGTATATGCAGTCTGACTGCTTAAAATCAACACTGGTTGTCAGTCTCTCTGAGTATTAGGAGTATTAGGATTGACACTGCAGTTACTTTTAGTTAATCCTGAGGTAATTTATAAATGAATACACTGATAGGAGTAGAGACAGGTGTAAGTGAGGCTTTATTAATGACTATCAAATGTAAAAGAGTCTGTCCCTAAAATTCACTTGTTAATTTTATGAATTGTTTGCTAACAGAATATGATCGTGGATCGGATTTTCTCTGGTATCCAGCCAACTGGGACACCTCATCTGGGTAACTACCTTGGAGCCATTCAGAACTGGGTGAATCTGCAGGAAGAGTGCAGCTCAGTGCTGTATAGCATTATGGACATGCACTCTCTCACCATGCCCAAGGAACCAGCTGTCCTGCGCCAGAACATACTGGACACCACTGCTGCCATCCTTGCCTGTGGTATTGACCCGAAGAAGTGTTTCCTGTTCCGACAGTCACTGGTTAGTGCTCCTGTTATATTAGGTTTGTTTCTCAATAAGAGGCTTTCCACACATGTTAATGACTGAGTATAGCATTGATCACCTTTGTGTCAGTGTAGAAAATGATAGCAATGTTGCATTGCGAACTTAGGCCTTGCTGCTGTTTCGAAGTGGCTGAAACCATGTTTGAGAAGTCAATTTAGGGATAAGTATGCTTGAAATTTCCCAGGCAGAGCTAGGAGTTAATGCAGGTTATGAGTAAAACACTGAAAAAGCCTGTTAGGAGACTGTTAATTTAGCTCTGTAAGACCCACTTTAGTCACAAAAAGTTAAATCATAAATGCATAAATGTAGTCTGTGCAACCATAAAGCCAGTAAAGGCAAGTAAAACACATTTCTGTGATTTCATACCAGCACTTAGCAATTAGTCTGCCAGCTGCACAGTTATCTCCAGCAGGTAGCTGGCATGGTAAGTTTTGTGTAGGTTCCATCACCAGGGAGTTAATGTCTTCTCTGGGATTTTTTTTTTCCCTTTGTTGTAACCTGCTTTACATATGTACCTTTTTCCACCTGATCTGGTAATTCATATGTGAGACATTTGCTTCTGCTCTTGACCACCCCAAGGGGTACTGGGCTTACTTTCCTACTTGGCATATGTCAGCTTAGTCTATCACATGCTGCATTTTCCTGGAACACAATTTAGTTTCTTGCTTCATTAACTTTCTGTTATTGACTCTAAACTGGCAAACTTACATGATTTCTGACAGACGCAGATGTGTCATAGCTTCTGCTCTTCTGAAGACATCTTTAACGGATGTCTGACTTGCAACATCTGCGAAGTTGATATGCATGGAGCCTGAATTGTATCAGTGCAAGATGAAATTGTGATATTAAATTCCTCCTTTGAACATGGTTCTTTACAGGCAGAGTTTCCTGTGGTTGTCAAACTGCAAATGACAATCATAGCTCCATATCCCTGGTGGATATTGAAATGATGAAGACAGATACACTTCCCGCTTCATTTTTCCTCTGTATTAAAAAAAATAAATAGATTAGCTCAGAATTCTAATGGAGAAATGTTTAAATTCATTTATGCTTTGTTCAAGTCTGTTTATTCTTTTTAGGAAGTTACCAGCTTGGGTTTTATTTTGTCTCTACTCTGACTTAAATTCATTCATATTGAGGCTACATATACTGGAAAGCCAATGATGCAGTAAAAAACAACCTGGAGTTTTGTTTTTAATTCCTTTCAAGCAGTTGAATGATTCAGCTAGTTACAACACGGACTAGATACACAGGCAGGACTCTTCAGCCTAGGAGATGAAGAAGGTTGTGGTTAGAGAAGAATAAAGTAAAGGTTTATAAAACAGAAAGTAAAATGGAGAAAATAGATAGAGAATGTGTGGTTTATCCATTGAAGAACATGAATCAAAATCAAGTGTCAAAATAAATTAGTACCTGGTAGATTCAACATGAACTGAATTTAATGAAATCCACAATTAGGCTACAAGACTCCTTGGCAGAAGATACAGTGCATGCTGAAACGTGTATGAATTCAGGAAAGGACTTGCTGTATTCATCTGAAATATCTGCTGGGGACTGTTCTATACATGAGGTACCACTTCTGCAGGTAGTGCTGCAACAACAATTGGGATGCTGTTTTGTACTTAGGCTCTTTTCTGATGATTGCTCTTGGAGATGAATATTTGGGCTGTTCCAGTGTTGCTTTTCTTACATTCTTACATGTCCAAAAGCTAAACTACAGCTGTTCCAGGTCTTGCTAAAGCCAGCACAGAGACTTCCCTTGAAGCCAGCAGATTATCACTGAGGCTCTTACATTACAGTTATTAGAATCTGAGACTAGTTTAGGTTGAAAGGGACCTTAAAGCTCATCCAGCTCCAACCACCTGCCACAGACCAGGTTGCTCCAAGCCCCATCCAACCTGGCCTTGAGCACTGCCAAGGATGGGGCAGCCACAGCTTCTTTGGGCAACGTGAGCCAGTGCCTCACCACCCTTGCAGGGAAGAACTTCTTCCTTCTGTCCAGTCTCAGTCTTCCCTCTGGCAGGTTAAAGCCATTCCCCCCTGTCCTGTCCCTACAGGACCTTGTAAAGCCTCCCTCAGCAGCTCTTTTGTAGACACCTTTAAGGTATTGAAAGGCCTCAATAAGGTCTCCCCAGAGCCTTCCTTTTTGCAGGCTGAGCAACCACAGAAAGTATGCTGTATCTTTCAGAATATAGTAATGCAGAGACTGAGTCTTTGAGTCCCTAAAGAGAAAGTATCAGACTCGGAAATGATGGGAGGACAGAACTGTAACTGATGCTTCTACAGAGCCAGTGCAGTCAACAGCCAGTGAAACTTTAGCTAGCTAGGCTTGAAAAATGTTCAGCTTTAGCAAACAAGAGTTTCCAACACCAAAAATTAATCTGATTTCTGTTATAGTGGTTAGGCTGGCCTCTGTTAAAGAGACTAACAGAGAAAAAAAAGTAAAGTTGGCTATTATTGTTCCTAATAGCCAACCTAAACTTCCCCTGGCACAGCTTGAGGCTGTTTCTTCTTGTTCTGTTTCTTGTTACTTGGGAGAAAAGACTGATCCCACCTCACTACAACCTCCTGTCAGGTAGTTGTAGAGCATCATAAGATCCCCCTTGAGCCTTCTCTTCTCCAGACTAAACCCCACCAGGTCCCTCAGTCGTTCCTCATCAGATTTGTGGCTCCAGATGCTTCACCAGCTCCATTGCCCTTCTCTGGACCTGAAAGTCCTTTTTCTAGTATCAAAGAAGGTCTTTTACAATTGTTTGTGAATTCAGACTGTTTCTGAAGTGGTTCAGGCTGAAGTGGTGTGTTGCCTACCCCAGTCAAGTGTACTGGTCAAGTATACCCAGAGATGCACTATGGTCTGTTACAACGGCATTGGCAGGACCAGATGTTTCTCTGGAAGCAATTAAAAGGAATATCTGTGTGTAGTGCTTGATGTGAGGAAAGGAGACAGGAACCCTGCTAATGTGATTATTGTTTTAGTATGATAATGAAATAGTATAGTATGGAATGTCATAATATCAAGATGATTGTTCCTAAAAACAAGGGTGTGAAATGGATTGCAGCTATTGCTAATCAGGAAAGTTTATGGCTTGATTTTTGGCTTGGTAACTGCTCCGTTTTCCAAAGAAGGAGCTGACCTCCCCTTTCCAGCCACTGCAGCACTCTCCAAGGGTGGTCTGAAACCCCACTATTTTGTTTACAAACATCTGGCTGAGGTGTAAAGCAAAGTGACAAAACCCATTTGTATCCTGAAATAGGCTGTATTTCCAGAGGTCCACTGGAAAACAGTGAAAATCCAGCTGCAAATAAAGAACTGCTTTAGGTACTTGCTTACAGGCAAAGTAAATGTCTCTCTTCAATACCAGATCAAACTCATAAATGAGAGATTTCTCAGTAGATTAACTCTACAATTATTAGTGTATTTTGAGTTCTATCTTGAGAATTAGGAGAACTGTAGCTCACAGAAGTGCTACTGCAGTTTCTTCTGATTAGTTTCTTCCAACTAATGGCTGGTAGTACCCTGATTCTGGAACAGTAACAGCAGAATTCATTACCTGCGCTGCAAAAGGATGCTGGTAATGGTAAGTCCCATGAAGGAAATTGCTCAGTCAGTCATTGTAGATGCTTCTGTGGCCTCTTAACTTTCTCTGGATTAACCTGGGCAAGAATGGTCTACAGTTACTGAAGAGGGGGATGTGTTGGTTTGTTTGGCTTACTCTTTCTGTACTTTCTTTCTGTTGGCACTTCTGTTGCTTCTCTGGAATGTTTGTAATATGTGAAAAAGAATATTGATCTCTTTTTTTCCCAAAAGGCTTGTGCATTTGGTAAGGGTTTCACTGCCAGTAGGCTGTTATTTACAACAGGGTTTGTGCAGATTGGATCTGTAATCCAGAGCTCCAGACTTTTCCCACATTTTACCATCATTTCCAATACAATCAAGAGATGAAAGGCTGTTTCTGATGTATCAGGTGTACAGCTAAATTACCCTTAAAGTGCTAGTTTTATGAAAATTAGTTCTGTATGCTTCAGAATCTACCATTTATAAACTACAGGGTTTTATAATATATATAAACAGGAAGTTAATAGCTGGCTGCATATTTCATGTCCATACATAGCAGTCCACCAAATGCCTCCCACACTTACGTTAACATGTACAGACTTGAACTCCAGCTTAGGGGAGTATTTGCTACAAAGAACAAGTGATGATACCTTCAAAATATTTAGAAGCAAGAAGGATGATGCTGAATATTTAGGGGAGTGTTTGGACCTGCATTGTCTGCGAAGGGTTACAAACAAGCACATTTTATTAGAGTATCTAGGAAAACCCAGTTGTGGAACACGTTGGACACTGGAGTGGCCTCCAGTGAGAGCAGCTCTTCTGTTACAGCTTGTTCAATCCTATCTTCTGAAGTAGGAAGACAGGTCAACTTGTGAGACAAGTCATAGAAGAGGGACAATTTCTAAAACAATACAAATAAATGCAGATTTCAAGATGATGCCTTTTTCTTTGGAGCACAGCTGCAAGATGTGCAAACCCCAATTTGATCTTAGAGAAAATAACATCAAGATACACTTTAACTGCCTGCCTTTGCTTATCAGGCATAAAAGAGAAGCAACAGAATAATGACATATCCAATATATCCTGAAAATCCTAGAAGAAAGAGCAAATATATTCTTTAAGTTGTACCATAACTGATAAAAGCTGTACCAGTTGTCTTTCATAAAACTTAGACTATTTTATGAAAACCAAAAAGGACTACAGGGCAGAAATAAGGAAGACAGTAAGCAATCTGCGCACGTGGGAAGCTTATACGGTATAACCCATTTTCTCTGATTCCTGGTGGGTACAATACACATTTCAGTTCTTACCCATAACCATCTCGTATCTCATCTGCTTCACAGTCAAAACAACGGCAGAAACTGCAGTTGCTTTTATGTGATCTCAGGCGGTTCTTCCTGTCCACCTACCTGTTGTAGTA